CGTTGAATGCAAGTGATCTGTCGAGTAACCCAGCTCTTCGGAGACGTTCCCGACTGGCTCAAAGACATGACGACGCTGAGAATACTAAACCTCGCGAAGAACCAGCTGACGGGAGATATTCCATGAGTAAGACTACGCGGAAGAAGATGCAAGCTCCAGAGTCGGAAGAAGACCAAGCTGGATCCAGGTCAAGCTGGTCCGACAAGGATCTCGAGTTTGTGTATCGCCACCAAGCTTTACGCGACTGCCTGCATCAAGATCCTGTCATGCAGATCCTAATACCACGACAGATCGAAGATCCAAGGGAACCGGTGAGAGCACCAACGAAAACGGCGAACAAGTTGGTGGCAGTCAAGGATCTATTACGTTTGCTTACGGAGTCAGGCATCGTAGCTGGTGTGTTCGACGCAGAGGATATCTTCGGGCTAGATCTGGATCTCATAGCATCCGCGACGCAGGACCTCCTTGCCAGAGTTAAGTCCATCACCGGAGAAAGGTCGCGCACTATGGATCCAGTGTCATCGCCGAGGATCAGCCAAGCTGCGTCCTCGAACTACGAATCCGCCGCTGAGGATGAGTCAGACACGTCGTCCGAACCACGACGCATGACTTTAGGACCCTCCGGGGCATCCATGCTGGAAGCGCGGGCGAGGGTCCGAGGACAGGAAGCCCCTGTGAACGTGAAGGCTCGGGATCCAGTAGGCCCTACGCGTGATCTGACACAATCCATCCAGGATCGAGCCAGATCCAGCAAGAAGCCAGTGGGATTATCGTCAGATCAGGCTCGAGGTAATCGTCTCACGGATCCTGTCTCGCCAGTGGACCAGACGGCCACAGGCTCTTCCGACACTTCCTCGGGCACTCTGCAGCGGCACTTCGAAGCTGCGATGAGTCGTTTCCTGGCCGAACAGGGTATGAGAGCACCCGTGCCACAAGTGCAAGTGCTCCACGAACATGGAGCACGAGACGTGGAAATGGAGTCAGTGGAGGGAGACAACTTCCATGATGAGTTCGACCCAGATGATCTGGATGGCCCATCCACTTCGTCAGCAGTGGTAGCAACAGCCACAGCCGGGGCAGGTGGATCGTCCATGATCCAGAGGGTACGGATCTCAGCCATATCGGACCTGAAGGAGTTCACGGGCAAGGATCAAGATGAGGACCGAGCGAGAACATGGATCAGCAAAGTCAAGTCGGCCCTCATGAGAGATCAAGCGTCGGATGCTGAGAAATGTTTGACCTTTGCGGATCTGCTAGCGGGGCCAGCCAGGAACTGGTATCGGCAGCTGGGCAGATCCACCAGGAACAAGTGGCCAGATTTGCTGCGCAGTTTCCAGACCCAGTACTGTGGATTGAGAGTGTCGGTGGCACGACAATACTACCATGCTCGCCGCAGATCGGATGAATCCCCGCTAGAATATCTGCATCGACTAAATGTGGCCGGTCTACGGGCCAAGTTGAAGATCAAGGATGGGGGATCCAAGGTACTGCGGGAACATGTGGATCACTTCATCGAGACGTTGGGAGATGTGGATCTGGCCGACAGGCTGACCCTGTTACGTCTTCCAGACGCAGATGAGCTTGAGGAAGTGCTGCGGGCGGTGGATCGCGCGAAACACCGCCAGAAGAAGGCGGCGGTCGGATCCAGCAAGTATCGCCAAAAGGCTCCGACGCCCACGGCCCCAGCTCGACGTGTCCACCAAGTAACGGCGCCTGACTCAGGAATTGAGTCAGGATCCGACGGTTCGGACTCCGACCCTAAAGATTACCGTCGAGTCTGTCTCACTGCGCCCAACGATCGAACGGCGAAGACCGGAGACAACTCTCGACCGAGGGATACCGTACCCGGGGACCGTGGGATGTACAGATCCCGAGATCTCATGGACGGGACAGCCCAGGTCAGGTGTTCGCAGTGCGGATCCCGGAAGCACACTGAATCTGGATGCTGGAAACATCTGGTCTGTGAGAAGTGTGGCAAGAAAGGTCATCCCGGAGATCATTGCTTCTACGTGTGTCGCGGGTGTGGCGAGATTCACGACGTCGGCAAGTGTCCGATGGAAGAATTCTACAGCCAGATCCGCCAATGGTTTGATCCAGGCGGCAGGCGTCAAAACGCAAAGTGTGGAGCAGCCTCCGCCAGAACACCGCTGTACCGCAAAAGTAGATTAGTATACAAATAGCAAATAAGTCAGTACTAAACTCTAGATAAATGCACTCTCGTTTGAGTACACCATCTTGGCAGCGCACAGCCAACGATATCCTTGTGCATACAGTCCTTGGTATAGTCCTTCGCCATTGCACGCATGTGTACTCAGTGTAGCCGGTTGTAGTGCAGCCGCAAGCTGCACTGCCAGGCGCATGAGTGTCCTTGGGATGTGTCTTTGCAGACACTGGCAGTGGACGGTGGCTCGTAGATGGGGGCACCGGACACTGGCAGACTGCAATGCACTGGCGCTCGACACGCAGGTAAGTTTTATAGCTCACACTCCCACTTGATCTCGGCGACGCACTTGGAAGTCGACGCGATCACACACGCGCATCCTAGTTGCCGCCATAGTCCTAGTAGTAGCGTAGTCGCAGCTCAAAGACAATAGCAGTCCACTCAGTAACAGCACTCCCACTCGATCGCCCTCGTCTTCATCAATGTCGCTCAGGTACAGCCTCCGCATCAACAGCAGTAGTCAACGCAGTAGCAGTAGTCGTAGTTGTAGCCATGTCCTCGGATACGTTGTCATCGCTCGACACAATAGGTAAGACTTTCATAGCCTTGCGAAAGTGTGTGAACTTCACCACTGCAAGTGCCTTTGTCATTCGCCATGAACGCGGCTGCCAGCGAGGACATCACTCTGGGCGGCACGGACGCCAACGAACGTGCGCCTCACCTCGCGCAGATCGGCAGCGGCGGCATGCTGGCTGTGTGGGAGGGCAGCTCGTCGGGTGGCGACTTCATGGAGGGCGGTGACCGCACGATGTACGCGCAGGTGCTGGACGCTTCGTCGGGTAAGGCCATCAGCGACAAGGTGACGGTGGACAAGTCCGTGGTGGGCAACCGCTACCAGGCATTGAAGACGTACCCGGATGGCAGTGTGGCATACCTGTCGAAGGGTAAGACCGGCAGCTCGCTGCAGGTGGTTCGCTTCTTCGGGTGCTAAGAAAATCGGAGACGATATACAACTTTGAATGTATAGATGTCTGGTTAAAAAATGTTTTCTTGACGGAATTTGGGAA